TCCTAGCTAGCTTGTAAATACCTTTCTGTTCCTCCATAGGTTAACATTTTAATAGTTAAATATTTGGAAAAATTAGACAAGTCGTCCTTCACATATTGCGTATGATAAAATTCAGTCCCTCGAAATAAAAATGATCGATTTTAGTTCGTAACATATTAAAAGTGATCGATTTTGGTCCTCAACGCATTTTCAGGCCTTTTTTTTTTTTTTAAGATGGGGGTATCCGGGACCACCCGACTAATCCCACCAATCCCGAGGAGAGTGAGCCCCACCGATTCCCAGGAAATTACCCCGAGCTTGGGCAGCTCGGAATGAGTTAATCGGAATGATTTTCAGGCCATTTTTAATCGGAATGAGTTAGGGATCCACTGTGTGTTCCAATTTTTAAGGGTAAAATCGTAAATCAAGTAGTGGGTTGACTGCAAATGTGAAGGACCGATTTCTTCTCCGAAGTAGGTCTTCTTCTTCACTTTAGGAATCCAACTTTCATCTACAAAATGACAGAGCAAATATGGAGAATCCATGTCATCCCCAAACTGTGATTGTGGTGTACCTTCAAGGCTGAAAACTTCATGGATCTTTGACAATCTAGGAAAAAGGTTCTCTGGCTGCGCCTATTATAAGATAAGTTGTTTCTTGAAATTTCCCATTTCTTCCTCTACCAACCATCATTTCTAATGAATATTCCCATTCCCATCAATCAATGGCAGCATCTTCACGTTTAGACATATGTGTACATTCTTCACTTAACTCTTAGTAGTGATACTAACAATAGGTTTGCTTCTGATTCCAAGCTGCAGTTATGGTACTTTAGTCCAAGTCAGTGGGGTTGACGCCGATTTTGACTTAGATGACGACTCCGGCGACTTCGATTATTCTTGTTTCACCAGGACTACTCACCTCCGGCGCCACCGCCACTGTCGCCTCATCCACCATCGATGATTTGCGAAGCTGATCTTGGAGGAGTTGGTTCATTAGATACTATTTGCAGAATAGCTTCTAATTTGAATATCAGTGATAATGTGTATATGCAAGGGGAGGGGAATTTTAATATTCGTCTGAATATTACGGTTAACTGCTTGTTTTCGGGTTACAAACTTGTGATAAATGTCTCTGGGAACTTCACTTTGGATCAGAATTTGCTGGAACTTTTGATTTGATGGCGGATAATGCTAGTTTTTTGAATGGGTCGGTTGTGAATACTATTGAGTTAGCCGGTGGATGGTGTGGGTGGGGATTAGAGGGGAAGAGGTGCGGCTTGTTTAATGGACCAGGAGAAGCTTCCAGAATCCAGATGATGTATGTGGTGGGGATGTATATGCATGGGTGGATTTGCAGGATCCTTGTAGCTATGGGAGCAAAGGTGGGACTCAAGCACGGAGGTGGATTATGGCAGGGGAGGAGGTGGGATGATTCCAGTTACACGTACATTAGTCATTAGTGTAATGTAATATATACAGCTCTTGAGTCACAGTCTAAGGTATAAAGGAATGTAATGTAAAGGTATAGCCTTGAGAGTCACAGTGTAAGGTGTAAAACTGGAATGGTATATATACAGGCAACCGCTTCATAGTGATCTAATGAATAGAACAACGAAGTAAAAGAAGAAACCAAAGTTGCAGTAAAATGAGCCGAAGCATCCACGAAAAAAGTAGCAGTTTTTTTTACTAGTACAATAGATGATACGCTTGAGAATTAAACTAGGACATTGACACGCTCACTGAGGCCGACATCATGTTTTAGAAACTAAGACATTATTCCTAGAAGGAAGAGGAATACTAAGATATCGATCTATCAACTAGGACCAACTTGATCTCGTCCTACTATCACTTCCATGATTAAATCTTCCACCAAGATAAACCTTCATGTCTTTTGCTAAGAGAAACCAAACTTTCTTGATATATTATGACCTTCAGCGTATCTCTCTGCCCGCAGATGTCAAATTTCCTGGTTTCCTGGCTGTGATTCTTGAGAGAGCAAGAAATCAAGTACCCATCCTCGCTTTGTAGCAGAAGCTTATCATTAGTCCAAGAACATAATGGCTCGTGAATCAATGGCCCATTCATTCCTACGAGAGGTCCTAAGGAAAATTTCTTCATCCAGGACTCTTTGATGCCATATTCCACCATCACCCAGATATCAATGAACTGCTCATAGATTGATGGGAGCCGTTGCGGGTAAGGGTTTTTGAACGAGATAAAGGCAAGGGAATCATCTAAGACAACAAGGCTGGGCCTTGTGTCGTCTGCTGTATAGCAAGGAAATTCCATCTCCCCAAATGCCTCGGTGCATATGTTGAAAGAAAGGATCATCCTAGACACGCTGAGCCGTGATTTCGTGCTGGCAGCACACCAATGATAGGATCCATGAATTAGTGCGGGGAAACATGGGTGTGGGTGTTCGATTTTTGGTAAGTCAGCATCGAGATTTCTCCAGGAATTTGTGCTGAGATTGTATATTTCAGCTGTCACTGAAGGGAGGCAAAAAGAGCCCGCAGAGAAACTGATTATCCTAAGAACCTTATAATCTCCAGAAGATGGATCGAACCCGAAAGCCAGACCGTTTGTTGTAAACACAGAGCCTTTTGAACAACCATCGGGATAAACAAAAGGGCGAACAGGGAGTTTGAGGAGTTCATGCCTGGCAGGATTGCATAGATAAATGTCGTAGAAATCCGAGATGCAAACGATGCCATTGCAGGCTCCGATCAGGCCGACCCAGTAACGATCCCACCAAGGTAGCTCTAAATTAGGGGCCACAACATGGAGAGTTTCATCTTCTTCTCCTCCATTATGATGAGAATGGAACGACAAGACGGTTTTCTTTCCATCCTTGATGAACCGCTTGATGAGAACGACACGGTGATCATTGTAGTCTTTGGCATGGTTGAGATGCATATCTGCAAAATAAGGGCTCTTGATCAGAGCACACCATTTCTTACAAACGCAACTGAATTGAAGTAATGATTTGACGGGCAACCTGACGAGGATCTCAGATAATACACCTTCAGGTAGCTGATTAATCATAGCTCCATTGAGGGTTTTAATTCTTGATGAGATTGATTGGAGAAAACGTTGTTAGATGAATCTTGAGAGGATTTTTCGGATTCTAGCAACCTGGCCCTTTTATTGGCCCAGATCAACTGTGTCCCGAAATTGGTCCATATTCAGTACTCCATTAGATAGGCCTCTAGGCCGACGATCCTCAAGTCTCGAATCACATCTCAGGTTGTTGTTCTTATTCTGCGACATACACGAGGTTCTTCTTAGCTAGCAGATTGGGACTTGACGCGGGGTGCAAATTTTTTTTTTTTTTTTTGAGGGAATTAGGGGTGCAAGTTGATTAAGCTACTCGACACCGAACTTGAGTCGAATTTGAACTACTCAATAGTATGGATGAATCCAGTTCAAATATTAAATTTCTAACCTTGTAAGCTCTATGAGATTATGTATATAAGGGTATTTAATTTTTTATATTTATTGGTTTAAAATGTCAACTACACTTCTTGTTCAAAATTAAATAAAATATTAATATATATTTGGCGATCTCAATTAGGCTCGATTAGATTAGATTCGATTAGACTTGATCGATCTCGAACTCGAGTAAGATAAATTAAAGTTGAACTTGAAATCGATTTTTAAAAGTTTAACAAGCCTAAACTTGAGTTCAATTATTTTAACTCAAGTAGAGCTCGAGTTAAAGTTGGAATACCCCCAGGCTTGATGATGAAGAAGGAGCACCAAGATCTCAATTTTATTATTATGAGTATTTTCATTTGAGTAATTTTTATATACACTGCCAGTGTATCTCAGAACCAAAACGATATCATATATAAGAGTAGCTTAATTACCACATAATACCATGCAATGGTGGGCTTTTGATCCAACCTGGCCCATTGGTTGACGGTTGACCCACATCGATTTTGTCACCAAAAATTGAGCCGTATCCAGTAGTCCATTAGACCTCTAGCCCACCCACCCTCAATCTCAAATTGCACTACAGGTAGTTATTCTTATTGTGCTACGTACACGAGGTTTTTCTTAGCTGGTAGATTGGGACTTGATTACGGATGCAAGTTGATTAAGTACTCGGCTTGGGCTCGGTATCAATTGAAATCGAGACCAAGCTTAAATTAAGACTGAGCTCAAGTCAAGTTTGAGCTACTCGAGAATATGAATGGATCTAGTTCGATCTAGCCTAACAGACTTGACAAACATATGTGTGTGTAATTTTTCATATTTATTAGTTTGAAATGTCGACTATATTTCTGGTTTAAAATTATATAAAATATTAATTTATAGATGAGCTCAATTGGAATCGATTAGGCTTGATTGAGTTTGAACTTGAGCAAGACAAATTGAAGTCGCATTTGAGCTTAAACTCGACTTATGAAAACTCCATGAGCTCGACCACGAGTTCCATCATTTTAACTTGAGTACAATATGTGGATATTTACATTTTTCAAGTTAAAATTGGAGCACCCATAGACTTGATGAAAAAGTTGGATTATCAGGGTCTCAATTTTATTCTTGTGAATATTTTCATTTTGCAAGATTATAAGGCAATGAGAAAAATAAAATTTCAATCAGAGCAACTCAATCAACCTATGAATTATGTACGTCAAAATTTAGGAGCTTTCCTAGAGGTGGAGAATATGGGAAGAGGAGCAGGAACTGCTGCAACCGTTCTTGGCAGTTCACTGTTAAGATTTGGCCAAAAAAAATTATATGATTTAGATTTCATCTTGTATCTCGATTTTAACGTGTGAGATTCACAAAATTTTGTTCTAAAGTTACACGTTATTGAAAGTAAATTGCACCATGTGCAAAAAAAGTTACACTATGTGCAAAATGCACGTAACCTGCAACCGTTCATGTCCCATGAAACTTACCAAAATGAGTTAATTTGTAACTGCTATATGGTTGTTTCTTATGAAAAAGCCGCTTATTTTTTGTTTCTATTTCCTTGAATACCTAAAATTTTTGTTCCCTTGGGTAAATAGCAGCCATTCATGTTGTATGCTGATAACTGAGAACACGAAACATGAAGTCTAGTGATCATGCATGGACAAAGTTGCATGTATTGAAAAGCCACTATATACTCCTCTACTACTACTACTAGACTAAATCCAACATAGTACTAGAACATTAACTCTGCAAATCCAAATTCAGAACTCGAAGTCCTAAGATGTCCCATCAGATAAGACTGTGAGTGGTCCGGGGATTTTTGCCAACTTGAACTAGCAATAGGTGTTTCCAGGCGCTCCTTCATCTTTGCACATCTTTAGCCCTGTACAATGAGGGAAAAGGCTTTCAACTGGCAATCAAACGGTGATTTCCCTGTAGATAACTGATCTTTTTCAAGACTTTAACAGCATTCAGTCGATTCTAATAACTGCTAAAAACGATGATTCTATCTGTAAATCAAACGTTAATCCTGGAAGGAGAAGCGCATAGCTCGATAGCAGAGATTAAACACGAACTTTCCTCAAATAAGGAGGCGTGGAAATACAATAAAAGCAAGTATTTACATCTTAGCACTTGCCAAAATAAAAAGTATGTACACCATAGAACGTGCAAAGAGAATTAGAAAGTCAAGAATTATTTGCAACAAAACAAAGGAATTAAGCCATTTTTTTGAGATTAAAATTACTTGTACTGGAAAAATCTAGTTTGACAAATATGCGCGGCGATGAATCAATCTATAGTGACATCAATCAGTAAGATCAAGGGGATTGATATTGCTTTCTGTAAAGTTAGACTAGAAGTTCGATTACATGCCTTAAATTGCTAAAAGAGGGGGCAAACAATAATATCATCTAATCAAAGACTTCTTACCTTAGTTTCTTGAAGTAAAAAGGCTGGCCTGTCCGGGCATCTTCACCAACTTGAACTTGAAAACCCTTTTGCCACGCTGACCTTTGTCTTCCCACATCTTCTCCACCGTGTACAATCCATCATAGATGTAGGTGATGGAGGCCCTTAGTAACTTACGACCGCGGATAACCCTAACAGGGTTCTTTGCCCTTATGCTATTCCGCAATGCCAAGTTTCCCCTTTTCAGCTGCTGATCTTCAGGCATTTGCAGGCCCACGTTTGGATTTGCATTATTTCCTCCCTGACCACAGTATACTAGAGTGTCTTGATCTGCCTTGTAGTTATCATAAAGCCCAGAATCTACGATACTGGTCGCAATAATTCTTCCTCCATCCTGCACATAGTCAATCCCTCCCTGAGAAGGACGATGCAGGCCTAAAATGTGCAGCTCCATTCTGTAGTGGAATTCATCTCCAATTTCCACACCAGGGACTGGTCCAAGGAAGGGCTTATCTGGGTAGTAATGGAATTTCTTTTTAATCATCTTTGCTGCCATGAAATCAACCCTCTTCCTCTTGTAATTATCCTCTTTATCCATCCTTGTGATTTGGTCACAAAAAGCTCGGAATTCTCTTACAATTTCCATCACTCGCTGCCTGGCCCTGTCAACATTTTTTGGGAGCTTTTTCCCCCGAGTAGAAGCAGTACTAGCAGCGGGTAACTGGGAATGATCCTTTAAGATGAACTCATTTTGCATTCTTTGGTGGTGATCTCCATCTTCTTTGTGTCTAGTACTGCCAGAGACATTTTCTTCCGCCATTGATGTAGTTCTTCCAATATCTTCTGGAGAGTTAATATGATCAATCTGGATTTCAGACCCATCAGCCTTGCCAGCATCCGCCGGGCTTCTGAAAACTCCATGTGGGACTTGAACTACCGGGAAAACCTTTCGACCCTTGTGAAATCTGGTGTTAGAAAAATGGCAATGGCAATGATCTGTGCTTGTATCACCATCCTCCTCCATTTTTCTCTTGTTCTGCCTTCTTCCTAGTGATGAGGGCTCCATGGTAGAAGTCTTGTTCCACTGCTCCATTTATTTGCCAAGATTAGTTTCTTCGTTGGCCAACAAAATGAGAAACCCAAGATATGGAACTTTTGCAGTTCAATTTTAATTGTCAAGAAAATTAAAGCAGCAGGCATGGGAAGGGAGAGAGGAAAAGGAGAGAGAGAATGAGGGTTGGAAATACGGGACAAATTCAGATGGTAACCGGATAGGAGTGACAGTGCTTAACCACTACATGCAGAGCCGCACTACTAACTGCTGACATGGATCAATGCGGGAAGATTCTTTCTAACGATCTCACAACACGACAAATTACGAAGAAAACGACACGGCCATATATATATAATCATATTGTCTTGCTATCAATTTGCTCTTTTTCGGATAGGCAAATTGATTCCCAGAACTTTGTTTTTACGTCCCAATTCAGTACCAATATAGATGTATGTATCGAATTGCAAATTTCTCAAGGCATGACCATTTTCGTAAATTAGCAGCTAATTATATATGGTCCCCTATTTTCATTTTTCACAAGCTATCAGTTTGGGAAGTAAATTATTTACTTGTGCATTGTATTGTATAATCCTCCAAGAAAGTGCTAAGAAAAATCAGAAATCAATTCATTACATTTTAGGAATTAAAATAAATAGACAATCTACAAAAAAGGAATTGAGAATTTGAAAATAATTTAAGTTTTGAAATGATGAGACCATACACTACAATCAAGATTCTGAAATTAACTCATTAAATTTTTGGAATTAAAATAAAAAGAAAATCTACAAAAAAATGGAATTGAGAGTTTGGAAATAATTTAAATTTTGAAATGATGAGAATATAGTCTACAATCAAGATTTTGAAATCAATCCATTACATTTTAGCAATCAAAATGAATGAAAATCTATAAAAAAAAAAAAAAAAAAAGGAATTGAGAGTTTGGAAATAATTTAAATTTTGAAATGATGAGAATATAGCCTACAATCAAGATTTTGAATCAACTCATTCATTTTAGGAATTAAGATAAATGGAAAATCTATAAAAAAGTAGTTGAGAGTTTAAAGGTTTAGGATGGCTTTTAACCAAAAACCCCTTCTGTAGTTTATATAGATATATATCTGCGCACGAATCCTTTTTTTTTTTGGTAAACAAAAATTTGAATAAATTCGACTCCGGTCACCACTACGAGTCAGGGTAGGTCTTCGAGACTATAAGCTGCTTACAGAGATACATACATTCGCCCACCAACACAACTCTCATATCGATAAGGGATTCGAACACACGACCTTTTGTAAGAAAATTAACCGTCCTTACCAACACAGCCCTCATATCAACACGGATCCTTTGCGAAAACGGGATTTCGTGGCTTTTTTCTCCCCCTTTCCTCGCACTTCCCCCAACTTCCAAACGATGCTCCATAGACTCTCATGTCGCCAAAGCATATTTCGCATCAATTATAGCTAGAGATGGCAAAATGTGCAGTAGCCATGCACAACAAAAAGGCCAGTTCTATTGGTACTAGACTAGTAGTAATTGTAGTAGTAACATGAATAGCTCCATATCCATAAGACAAGTGTAGATCTAACATATATAACTAAAATCAGAGAATTCTAGATGAGAGCTGACAAGAAAACAAGAGAAAATAAAGAACAAGAAAAAAAGGGACAAAGTCTCGTTCAAAAATTTTTTAAGCGAGAGAAAACTTTCACTAGTTGTGAATTGATCATTGATTGTAAATGGACAGGTGCTAAGGTTTTTTTTTTTCTCCTATTTGGGGAAAAAGTAGCATTGGTCCGTGGCTCAATCAAATCGGGACGGATGTAATTGGACTTTGTCCACCGGGGATAAATACGTTTTCTTTCCTTTTTTTTTAATTGATATGTGTGGGAAAGCAGGGATTAAAGTGAGAAATAATTATTCAAGATTTTTCTTGTCATGGTTAATGTGAGAAATTACAAACTGTAAAATTTCATTTTTTTTTCTAAAATCGACAGTGATTTTCAAAAAAAAAAAAAAAAAAACTTAGACAGTTTCATAATATAATATATTGTTCATGGGGGTTCGTTGCTTATCTATGGATCCTAATTGAGTTTTAATCGTAGCGATCCCAAAGAAAGGTTTTCCAAAATTATATACTTCTTGTAAATACTAATAGAGAGAGGCATTTCGTACTGCTTGCTTTGTGAAGGCATTTTATTAGTGGTGGCGCTCACTCCATTTATCCCTCCAAGGACCAAACTGAGACTCATTTAAGGGAAGCTTATCTATGGAATAGCACTACAATTGACTCAAGTCAACTAATAAAGGGGAGCTTACCTATGGAATAGTGCTACTCAGAGCTCGACTTGATTCAAAATACTTGAACTTGAGTCCATGGAGCTTTTAAAAGATGAGCTCGAGCTCAAATTTGAGTAGATTTAGTTCAAGTGAGCCCTATTGAATTTATTTGAAGAAAATCGAACTCAATTATTATAAACTAATAGAATTTGAATCAATAAATATAATTGACATTTCATACAAATAATATAAAAATAAAAAATTAGAACCTTGAGTGAGCTCAATTAAGCTTGGTGAGTTCTTGAACCTCACATAATAAACTCGAATTCTAGCTCATCAATCTATTCGAGCAGCTCGAGCTTAGGCTTGTCAACGGTTCGGGTTTGGGCCCGGACCCGAGCCGGATCCGTCAAATTATTCCGAGTACGAGTAGGGATATAATTTCGGGGCCCAGACCCGGGTTCGGATCCGTTTTCTCAAATAAAAAACGGATTGAATACGAAATGTGGTATTCCGACCCGTATCCGAACCAAACCCGAATATAAGTTAATTAATAATTTAAAAAATATATATTTATTAATATAATATTCCAAATTTACTTCAAACACGCCAAACGGTCCAAACCCTAATAGGCTAATATACCTTTGGTATCCCTCTGCGGCTCTGCCGCATCTGATATCTCTCTCACTCTCTCCTCTTTAACTGTCCCCAATTTGACAATTTCAGCCGTCCCCTTTCCAAGCTTCAAAGAGGAGCAACTGAGCAAGGCAAAATCTAAGCTTCCAGCCCACCGTCTCTCTTTCTCTTCGGTCCGTCTCCACCATTTCTGACTTCTGAGCTTCCACCAGACTGTCCGAGCCATCTCTTAGCTCCGCCTCCGCCATCTCTTCAGTCCACACTCTCTCACAGTTGCAGCTCCAGCAGCGGGCCTTCCGGCGACAGTCATTGGTTCCAGCTCTCACTCTCTAACAGGTAAATTTTTCTAGTATTTTGTCTTTGTCAAAGATGGTGGCTGTTTCATCTACACTTGATATTTTCTAAAATCTACAAGTTTTTTTTCCCCAAATTATGCTTATTCCTTTCAATCCCTTGATAAGGATAATTCCTCATTCTTGGGTTCAATGCCACTGCTGCTCCTGATGATGTTTTCGTCATTGATGGTGGAGAATTGTGTGGAAGAGGGAGTTAAATTAGCTGTTGGTGGATGAGAAGATAATATTGGTTTACCAATCTGGCCGGAATTACAAGAAAAATGGAAGGTATTTGATAATCGATGGAAAAACAAAGTGAGAGACGTGGACAGATTTCTAGTTGGAAGGATGAAGATATAGTACTCTGTCGTCGCGATATTTGGTCAACTCTACTTTGAAGAGAGGCAGAGAGCTCTGTAGCTGAGTAGCGAGAGGCTCAGAGCCTCGATTGTACAAAGCCGATCTAGCTGATGATGTTATTCTATGCTTCGTTTTAAAGGCTAGAGGAAACAAAAAAAGTTAGGAATTCATCCAAAAGAACTCATTGATTTTATACTGCATGTCTAAAGAAATGTATTGATTGATTTTATGCTTCCAAATCCGTATCAATGGTAGGCTCGACCCGGATTCGGATCCGTCGGATCCGGTTTCGGGAGAAAGAATAGAAGGCCCGTCAGGTATTCAGGCCAAATTCGAAACGCGTATAGTTTGACGGATTCTCGACTCATTTGCATCTCTACGATGGCATTTGAATTTCGCGATCACATTCATTCATTCACTCATTCATCTGGATTCCAATATGACTAAAGAGCATTCTTGCATTGAATTTTACTAAACTGTGATTAGACTGTTGATACAAATTCCAGAACATTTGACTGGTAAAATCGCCTGCTCGGTACATGTGAAAATCCCGCACGCTTTGGGTGGCAGTAAAGCAATAACTATGGCTGACATAACCTTTTGCGGAAAAAGAAAAACACTAACAAAAGAGAGAGACAAGCCAAAAAAGTGTTTAGTCACACAATTAGTAGTGCTTTATATGAGCGTTTGCTTAGTTTCCATTTGGTAGTCATCAATGATCCAACCGCTCATTTCCTTGCTTCTTTTCCCTTGTACTTAGCCTTTCCCATACTTTCTGCACCTTCTCGAAATTACTAAAGCACATTCTTCTCTCATGCTTTTGGCCATTAATTTTTCCTCTTAATGCTAGAAAAATCATTAAACATGGAACATTGGAGCAAGACTTCATTAATGGAGCCTTTTCCACTGGGAGGAAAGCGAAAAAAGCGAGACGTGAAGGATGTTGATGGTGATCAAGGCCCTTTCAGCCCCACCAAGGCTAAGAAAGTTGAGAAAAGTTTCCCCATTGTTCGAGTCCCGCACGGAATTTTCATGAGGCCAGTGGAAACTAATCAAGGGATGATCAATAAGGAACTTCCAGAAATCCAGGTTAACCATATTAAGTCTCCTAAGTTCTTGAGGAACTTGATTTTCGATCTTCAAGATGGAATCTTAGTACCTAAGCTTGGTCATGAACAAAAAGCAAGTAGTTCCAAAAACATTCCACCTTCTTCAGAGCATCATGAAAACAGTGATATAAGAACAAGAATTGAACCACGTCCCTCAACAATTGATAATGAAAATGAAATCCAAGAACTGAAAAAAGATGTGATCCAAGAGAATTCTAAGCCACAAGGCCTGAGGTCCTCTACTAGCAGTTCCGGTCAGTCTCTGGCTCGTGAGAAAGTGAAGGACATCTTACACCATTTTCGGCACTACGTTGAGCATGTCTTCAAGGAGGAGAGGAGGCCTGAATTTGCAGCATCAAACATGATAAAGAACAAATTTTGGTACCCGCATGTGCCAATCCTAGGGTCAGTTCCGGGGATAGAGATTGGAGACAGGTTCCACAATCGCATGGAAATTCATGTTTTATGCCTCCATCGTCCACCACAAGGAGGAATTGATTGGATGGATTATGGAAGAAGAAAGGTTGCTATTAGTGTGGTTGCTTCTGGGGGATACAGTAATCATTTGAGCAATCAGGGTACCTTAATTTATTCTGGGCAAGGAGGAAATCAGTATGGACCTGGTACTCAGGGGACGGCAGAAGATCAGAAGCTCAGCAAAGGAAATCTTGCACTGATGAATAGTATTGTGAAAAAGAATCCTGTGAGAGTAATTCGGAGAAGCGCAATATCTGGGCATTACTTTTATGATGGATTGTATACTGTGGAGAAGATTTGGAAGGAGAGAGGCAACCATGGGAAACTGATTTTCAAGTTCAAATTGGAGAAAATCCCAGGACAAGTCAGCCTCAGCAACCGAAGAAACTAGAGGTAATAATCCAGTCATATGCATATACTTGTATTCTGGAAGAGATATTCCTCTTGAAAAATTCCAGCTTGAGTTTCTGCTACACCTTAATTAGGCCAATATTAGTCTAAAAGAACTTTAAGGGACAAAAGCACAAATGATCGAGAGCTCATTTAGCTCCTACTTTTAATCTATTTGTCTATTTTTTTCTTCACTTTGTATTCATGTCCTCTGATGTTTAATCAAAGCTCAAGCTCGTGCTTGTCCCCCATCATTAGACTTTTGGAAAATTGTCCAGAAAGATCACTCTGCTACACAATCAGAAACTTATAACTTGACCAGGCTAGGATCTAAGCAAGCCTTTGTACATGTTCAAGATTGGTTTGATCTTCCTTTTTCTATAATTTAAGGGAAAAAAAAAACTTTGTTTCGGGTTAATTTGGTAATTTGGTCTGAGCCCAAATCAGTTTTTATCAACCAAATTCAAGTCGGGTTTAAGTAAAAGTTAATTTGTTCATGTGTCAATGTAAAATTTTATGCTTATCGAGCTAAGAGACGAACCCAACTTAAAAGGCTAAAACACAGATAATGTGCTTCATAGCTGGTTTTGATTAGTTAACAAATGCGTATATGCAACTTTTTCAATTATAAAGGACGATAGTGGAGGCCTTTTGTCCAATTTTAACAGCAAATGATCTTATTGCTTTAATTGACCTACTGTTGGTTTGTGGATTGTATACACAGCAGCAGAAGATGTGGGAAGATGGGAGATTGCATGAGAAATTTCTTTCCAAGTTCAAGTTGGTGGCATTCCCAAGACGACTCAATCTTTTTGCTGGAAAAAATTACTGCAATTTAGGTGAAAGAGTTGTATGAACGTACTAGAGACATGTTACAGGATTTAGTAGTAATTCCGATGTTTTGCTAGACAGAATTTGTGTAGGAACTGGTTTGGATGGTTTCCTTTTTATTCTTCTAGTTTAGCCAGAACCTGTTGTGTTAGCCTATATAAACTAGTGCTTAGTTGAAAACCTACTAGTTAAAAAAGGATTTATCAGAAATCTTGACAAAGCCTCAAAGATTTGGCAGAGAGTTGTGAGTTTATTGCTCATGAATCTTGAGTTAACAATATTGTAGAGTATTTTATTGTGAGTTTATTTGTCTAGAGTCAAGTTTTAGTATCTTTGGCTGTGATTTTGTTGTGCCTACATCTTTGGCATGCTATAACAACTGCCTTTTCCTTCCCATGTAAGAGAAAATTCTGAAGAAGCTTTTTCTATTCAAGATGTACGTTTTTCTCTGCATATTCTTTCAGGATAAACTCCACGTTACGCTCCCAAACTTGTATCACTTTTTCACTTTGCAATCTAAACTTCAATTTTGAACACGTTGCACCAAAAATTCTCAATTTTGATACTTTATACCGTAAACTCTCAAGTTTGTTCCATTTAAGTCTAGTCAATAACAAATTTAGCAAACTTAGGAGCATGGACAATGTGCCAAAAGTGGTCAAAAGGTATCGAGGTATCATAGCAAAAATAAAACAATACATTATTATTAATTTGCACCATCTTTTTTTTGGTTAATTTTACTAATACTATTACTAATTGAAACCATATAAATCAATGATCGTATGCTAAAAATAGTCCAAAAAAAAAAGTTAAATGATCGCAGTTAGAACAAAATGGTACATTGTCATTAATTTTCACCACTCTTTGCCTCATATTTAAATGGGATAAACTTGAGAATTTATGGTGCAAAGTGCCAAAAATTAAGAGTTTAGAGTGCAAAGTATTCAAAATTGAAATTTACGGTATAAAGCGAGAATGTGATATAAGTATCCTATTCTTTTATGAACCCTGAAGTTCTTTTTTGTAATTGTTGCTGAATATCAAATTTAAGAACACCAAAAAAAAAAAAATGGTCGTTTTTATATCCTAAAGTACATATGGTTTTTGAAATTCATCAAAATTTGTAGATGGGAATGCTAGAACAACTTGCAGTCGCATTTTGCTCATGCCATCTATTTTTCTTCTTCCTAGTCATGTCATCTCCATATCTTTTTGAAATTTCTACTGATTATTAAGGAGTACTAATTAGTATATACAATTCAATGAATTGGACATAGTAACATTTATAGTTCCTTGATTTATACTTTTTCCAGATATAAATTACCATTAAAAAAATAACATTTGGGGGCTCCTTTAATCCTTAAACAAACCATATCTTAGAATTTTCGTTAATGCTACCATTCAACGATTCAAAAGAGATTAGACGGAAATTTTTCAATGAAATGTTTTCCTCAAGGGGAATTCTAATGAACGTATTTGAGCAATAGTCTCTACTCACTTTTTAGTTTAATTTGATGTTGCAAATAAGCACCCAATATATCAATTACAACATTATAAAATACAAATTTGTTATACAAGTCATTCACTAGTTAGGTTCTAATGAAAAGATTTTAGTACCTTAAATTAAATTTGGATTGGCTATTATTTGCAAAAAAAAAAAAATTTATTTACTTGAATCACAAACATATTTTTTTAAATCATCTTCTTATCTAGTTAATCACTATCACACATGCATCATATCACAAAAACATGATAGAGCAATTATTTCAAAAATATTATAAATAATCCTATATCCAAACACGCACTTTGTTTGGCAAAATACCTCGTTTAGTGATGGTATGAAACCTTGTTTGGATTGTGATTTTCGTGAAAAAATGTTTACGTTTTTTGTGAACATATTTTCTAATCATTTTTTTTACATCGCATATATCAAATTGCTATAATACATTCTTTCTACAAAAACTCCTAAAAATAGCAATCCAAATGGTTCAAAGAAACGAGTCTATGTACAACCTAGAAAAGAATAGAAATATAAATGAGTCTAATCAAATCGAGCATTCTAGTGTTAAAACTTGTTCATTATTTTCACGAATTTAAAATTATGTTTAACCTTACATTGTTATATTTGTCAAGTCCAAATAAAAAACTTTTACCTAGTCGAAATCAAATAAACTTTTACCAAGTCGAGTTCACATAATTTGAATTTTTTTTACATATAAAATTAAATCTTAGGTTAATCAAGTCAAGTTTAAGTCAAATTTGGAACTTTAACACCCAAAAAAAAACTGTTCATGTTTGGTATGATTCATTGATAAATCAAGCTAGAAAAAACTCTTTTTTAACCGTGCTCCACTTGAGTGTTGGTTTGTTTTTCACCATTAAGAAAGAAGGCAAAATGCTAATGCCTGGTAGTTAATTGGGGCAAAATAAATTTATCTCAAAAGGAAAAAAGAAGCCCCCACTAAAAAGAATTTCTTATTAATTATCTCATCTCTCAAAAAAGATCCCGCCGCAATTGGATTTCAAAATCATTCAAACCACCCTGGACGGCTGGACCAGATAGTCCCCACTCAGTCCAGCCCTGCTCCTACTACAACTACTATAAAAAGAGCACGTACGTGGCGCTTCGCTCCAACAACTACCGCACAAAAAGGCCCACTCTCTACTTTCTCTCTCTAAAACTGAACAAAACTTTCTTGACAGGTCAAAATATAATAATTTTAAAATAGCTTCCGTTACTTTTCTCATTTTCCTTCTCTACCTCTTCTCTACTTCACCCCTGCCTCTTCCCCTGCTCCTCCTACTGCTTCTCTTCTTCACCGGCGTCGGAAAATTTTTGAACGCCGGAACTCCTAAGGCGCCGGCTAGCTCTGGTACTTGTAGCGAGATGGAAAGTGTGATAGGACTTGTGAATACACTCCAGAAAACTTGTACTCTTCTCGGCGATTATGGTGATGATCGCTCTTTGCCAACTCTTTGGGACTCTCTCCCCACCATCGTCGTCCTCGGCGGCCAGGTTTTCTTCTTTCTCTCTGTATATATACTTTTTATAGCATCACGTACTGCTGTGTGTTGTTGTGTGTGCACCCGAGGAGTCGAGGCTTCAGAAGTTGCCAGTGGAAGATTTTTAAGCGTTTTCTGTTTTTACTGTTTTTTAAGGTTTTTTCTAGAGTGAGTAGCACTAAAATTGTGATTATATAAATTCGCACAGCGAACATGCATAACATTTGTACGTTTCTATGCACTTCAATTTTGATGTATATTGATTTTTTTGGCAGAGTTTATTAGGAATGCAAGTAGATGACTAGTTCATTTTTTTCGGAAAAGAATATGAATTTTCTTTTTCCTTGTTGGTTTTCTTATGACGTGTAGAGTTCGGGGAAGTCATCGGTGTTGGAGAGCTTCGTTGGGCGTGATTTTCTGCCTAGAGGATCAGGTTTTTTTTCCCTATTTTTTTCTTGTTTATTCTCTTTATCTTCATTTTCTCTTTGCCTTTTGTCTTGTGTGTATAATTTTGTGATTTAATTGATGCTAATTAAGAGAAGTTAGTTGTATTATGATGATGATCGAAAGTTACAAGTTTGATGTTGGACTAGAAATGCTTTCGTGGTGAATACTAAATGTGCTAGAGGGCATCGCGTGTTGTTAATGGATTTCACATCATTAACTACGAGCGTCATTCTTGCTGAGGGAGTTTGAGGAAATTAAGAATGAAGTTTGAATGCATCACAGTCTTAAACACAGCAAATGTCTATCATTTATTCCCCTTGCTTCAATTTTCCTGATTTTAGTGTTATTCGGAGCAACTAATTATGCTTATGGGTTTTAAATTTATAATGCTTGTAGGGATTGTAACAAGAAGGCCTCTGATCCTGCAACTCTACAAGATAGATCCTGGAAAAGAGGATTATGCACAGTTTCTTCATACTGGAGATAAAAAATTCATAGACTTTTGTAAGTTATTTTCTTCTGCTGTTTTAAATGGTAATGTTGTGAATATTGTAAATGCATTGGATAGTTTTGAGAGTGAAATGAAGATCACTAGTTGAATGCAACGAAGCTGCCTAACTTGCAGGTGCAAGGCTGCATGAATTGCCTCTTTTTATTCATTAAACTGCAGAATAGGATGATCTGTTAATTTTCTGATTAGCTGTCAGCTTTTGCCTTGGTGACGTGGCAACATTGCCATATCTGCTTCATTTGAAAGTAACAGTGTCTTACCACTGGTAGACATTTTATCATCTTAGATTTTTTTCCTAGTGGTTTTTCCATTTCTTTAAGTGGAGTGAAAAACATCATAAAAGACATTTTGCACAACCGTACACTATTACAATGTTCATTTTGATTCATTATGCTTTCCTTGTGAAGCCATGGTTCGGAAAGAGATTCAGGAAGAAACTGACAGGGTGACTGGGAAAGCTAAGCAGATCTCTGCACTGCCCATTAATCTCAGTATCTACTCCCCTAATGGTGCGTTTTAATTTGAGAAATCTTTCATGATTTCTTAACTTTTGGCGATTATGGTTTAAGATATTGATTTCTTACTTTGGTGATCCTTAATTTTGCAGTTCTGGTTTTCTTCATATTCTCCTGTCTTATTCCTTCACTAACAATATCTTTTCCTTTCACTTAATTTCTTTACTTGCAGTTGTAAATTTAACTTTGGTAGATTTACCTGGTTTAACCAAAGTTGCTGTGGGTATGTCATTCTTTTTGCTAAATTTCTGTTATTCTTTGTTGTACAATCATTATGCCTTACTTACAAGTTTGCGTTTGCAGAGGGACAGCCTGAAAGCATAGTCCAAGAAATTGAAAATATGGTTCGCTCATATGTAGAGAAGGTAGAATGATGCTCTCATATTTTGTGGAAAATACTCTCATTGAATAGCTAAATCTCAGTAAACTCTTCTGATCCTATTGATTGATGCTCATACAAAAACCGAAGCACTTTGATTTTGGTGTGCCACTCATTATCATTTTTTTATCTAGTTTGATTTGGTAAATGACTCTACTTAAAAGATTTGGAAGCGTATGAAGGTAACTTCTGAGTTTGGAGACATGATAAGTAGCTTCTTGTAAGCACAAAGTGTCATTTTATATAATGACGGAAGATTCTTTTTCATTGGAATTTTCTTAACCTTTCGCACACCCTTGAACTGGAATTGAAGTACAGAATTTGTTGATTTTGAACAAAATTGCAGTTTGTAGTTACATTTGATTGCTGATCATCTTGTTTCTGGTTGTAGCCAAATACAATCATCTTAGCCATAACTCCTGCCAATCAAGATCTTGCCACATCTGATGCTATCAAGATTGCACGAGAAGTTGATCCAGCAGGTAATTTCTGTGGTAGAGTTTTAACAACCTTGCTATGTCACTCTTTCGTCTTAATTTATTGGAATGTATTCTTGGAATATTTTTTTGTCTCTTTGCACTATTGATGCATCCTATATACAGGAGAACGGACCTTTGGCGTGTTGACAAAGCTTGATTTGATGGATAAAGGAACAAATGCGCTGGATGTAAGTGTCTTTACTTTTTCCAAGAAGTTTGTCTGAGACTGGTTGAAAGTGACTGCTTATATCAATCTATTGTTTGGCAAGGTAGCCTCTACCAATATATTATGTATTGTGCCTAACATTAGTCCATAAACTTGGTTTTAGCCAATTTTCTGGTTGGTTCTTACTCAACTTTCTTTTTGTTGTCAACTTTCTCAATATCCAGAGTTTAACATCAGCACTTTTAGAGTTAAGGTCTATGTTTTTTGGAGGTCATTTCTAATTAAATATGCTCAAGATCGACAATGGATTTTAGAAACACATTTAAATTCTTTGGATCTTCATGATTGTTGTGTTAACATGATGAATCTCCAAACTAGATGGAGTTGTTGCAGGTTATTTAGTTTTCCAGGAAATTGCTCTTGAATTAGCTGAAGTTAGAGCAGGCATGAGTTGGAGGATTATATGTAGTTTCCTTTTGAAGACAAAAACTGACACTTAGGTCCTTTATCCTTTTGAAGGTTATAATTATCAAGGGCCTTATAGATATATTTCATTAGGATGCAGTTCTGTTCGAGCCTGTGAAGAATGTCGATCAGTTACTTGTTTTCATTACCCACACCTAAGTGTTGCCACTGCAGATGCAAGTTGGTTATTAGAGCTATCCTGAAAGCCATAATCTTGATAACCATATTGTTTATCTCTGCAAATTTTGCCCGTAGTTTTCAGGGAATATAGTAGTGTGGCCACTCTATTTTTTTGTTTTTCTTTTTTCCTATATCCCATAGTTAGATTTCTAAGTATGCAAACATTATTAACTTACAGTTTTTCTTTTTAAATTTCCAGTTTTTATTCTGTTTGGTTTCTTATGTATTACCACCACCAAATGATGGATGATATGAAAACGATCTATTCGAGCGACTAGCAATGTCTCTATTTAGATGCCATTTCAGGATTTAGAATTCCACCCCACCCTGCCCCTAGATTACTCACTCAAGGTTCACCTTTCTTCCACCAAGGTGCTTGAAGGAAGATCATACAGACTGCAACATCCCTGGGTTGGGGTTGTTAACCGTTCACAAGCTGACATAAACAGAAATCTTGACATGATTGCCGCCAGGCATAGGGAGCGGGAATTCTTTGCAACTAGCCCTGAATATGGGCACTTGGCCAGCAGAATGGGTTCAGAGTATCTTGCAAAACTTCTTTCCAAGGTACATGTTTGCACTTATGTTTCGCTTACTGACGCCGCAATATTTTTCCATTGTTTAGAATAACAGAGTTCACTAATAATTATTTTGAAAATATCTGTGGTTTCAGCACCTAGAATCAGTGATAAAGGCCCGCATACCTAGTCTTGTGTCTTTGATTAACAAAACTGCCGATGAACTTGAATCAGATCTTACCCATTTTGGCAGACCTGTTTCGATAGATGAAGGGGTGAGGACATATACCTACTTCGGTAAATTTGTCTAAACATTGGTTTGTCAATTTCTGTGTTGAGTAATTTGTTCAATTTTGTAGGCCCAGTTGTATACAATCTTGGAGCTCTGTCGGGCATTTGACCGAGTATTCAAGGAACACCTTGAAGGAGGGTACATAGCTTTTCCAGCCTCACCTAGTGCAACTGTTTACTACTCACTCCCCCCCACCCACCCCCATGGCCTACAAAACAGAAAACAAAAATAAAGGTTTTTTTTTGGGGTGGGGGGGAGGTGAGGGGGGATGCGAAGTACACAAATGTATAAAAAAAACTTAATCTTCACTTAAAAAGTAGTCTAATGCATCAAATAGAGAATTAAATAAAACTTGAGTATTTGATTTTCTTGGAAACCATTTGGTTCCATGTTTAATCGGCAATAACACTATCACTTGCCAAGAAAAGAATGTGCAATCATGCAGTTTGTAGCTGCAGCCGCTTATGACTGAAGACCATGTAACACAAGCCATTTGGTTGAGTTATTGCACATCCTGCTGGCTGGATGTTTCTAAGTTTGGGTATTAAACATATTAGATTATACAACTGATGGAGACATGAGATGTTTGAAATAGCAACTCAGAGCTTATAGGACAATTTGTTTATGTCTGCTAGACTGTGAAGTTTTCAGAAATGCTAATGCAGTCAAATTTAAAGTGATCATACCAGTCCTTTCACTATCACTAATATTTGGTGCACCAGAGTTTTCAATTGCAACTTAAGGTCCTTTTCCTGCAAAGAAACCATGTCATGTGGTCGTATAAGATGTAGGTATAAATTGTTTTAGGAAATTGCAATCTAAAATTGATTTTAGGACCTTATGCTTAAAAACTGTGAAGTAGATGGAGTAAATTGAATGATTTTCACCATCTGTTGACTACAGTGAATTTTTTGAAACCCTTATGAGGATTACAAGAATTTGTGATCTCACTATACTAACTTCCACTAAAAGTTTGACCATGAGCTTTTTAAATCTCCATAAATAGGCGTACAGTTTTTACTTTTGCATTTTTCATGGTAATAAGCATCTGTACTCCCATATTGGTTATGTTAAGCATCTATTACTTCTCTTGATAGGCGGCCAGGGGGAGATCGGATTTACGGAGTTTTTGACCACCAACTCCCTATTGCTTTGAGGAAGCTCCCTTTTGATCGGCATCTCTCACTACAAAATGTAAAGAAAGTGGTCTGTCAAGCAGATGGATACCAACCTCATCTTATAGCACCAGAACAAGGTTACAGACGCCTGATTGAGAGTTCTCTCAATTATTTCAGAGGTCCAGCTGAAGCTTCAGTTGATACAGTAAGTGCTTCAGTCTACATGTATCACTAGGATAATGGCTTCTCATTAACTGCTTAAGCATGCCTATTTTGGTTGGATTAATGACCATTTCTGGTAAGGAAGAATCAGCAGTCCATTGGCTGTAAATGGGCGTGATAAGACTAACACATTAGCATTATGCTTGGGTTGAGATAAAAGTTTGAAGACGGGATCAATGGATTTATTTCAAGTGTACAACTGGAATAAATGAAAATACTGCAGGCAAAACAAATTTTCTTATATGCAAAGAGGTGGTTTCTGTATCTATAGTTTTGCAAAAGTAATTGCTTGTTTTTCTTAAACTACCAAATGGTCTTGTAGATCCACTTCGTCTTGAAGGAGCTTGTCCGCAAGTCAATTGGAGAAACACAGGTAGAAAGTCACAAGTCTATTCCGGTGACATTTGTTAACATTTATTCGTCAAAAGAGAGTTGATGATGGAACTCTAAAATGCAGGAGCTTCGACGTTTTCCAACTCTCCAGGCAGAAATAGTAGCTGCAGCAAATGAGGCATTGGAAAGGTTTCGTGATGACAGCAAGAAGACTGTGTTGCGAATGGTAGACATGGAGGCCTCATACCTCACTGTGGATTTCTTTAGAAAACTCCCGCAAGAAGCCGAAAAGGGTGGAAATCCAAATGTCTCTGCTGCTGACCGTTACAGTGAGGGGCACTTTAGGCGGATAGGTTCAAATGTTTCCTCCTATGTAGGCATGGTGTCTGAGACTCTCAAGAACATGATTCCCAAAGCTGTAGTATATTGTCAAGTTCAAGAGGCGAAGCGAACTTTACTAGATCACTTCTATACACAAGTTGGCAAAAAGGAGGTAAATATCCTTCTCTGACATCTTAGTTACAGGAGATCAATTGATTGTTTTCTTCTGCTTTTCTCTCTTTCTTTGGTTTACCTTGTTTTTGGGCTGAGGGAGGGGGAGGGGAAGGGGAAAGATATCGGGACGATTTCCACTGGACTTTAATTTGTTTCTGCTGAAGCAACAGTAATCGGAACTAAATCTAGTCTGAAACCAATTGGAGGATATGGTTGCACTTTGAATTACTGCTGTCAAAACACTATCGACAGTTTTACACTACGCAGTGGACCAAAACACTCGAGTCTTCTCAAAATCTTTTCATGAGTTGGAATTCCATATTTTCACTCATTGGGTGTAATCTCAGTCAAATTTTGTTACTACATGTCGTAAAAAAATTTTGCATCAAAGCCAATTTTACACACACAGTTGCTAATGATAGGTCAAAGAATGAGGATTTTGTACACAGCTGTAAGTTTAATTGTTTTTATCTTGTAGGGCCGTCAGCTTGCTCAGTTATTGGATGAAGATCCAGTGTTAATGGAAAGGAGGCAGCAGTGCTCTAGGAAGTTGGAGTTGTACACGGCTGCTAGAAATGAAATAGATTCAGTGTTGTGGACAAGATAAGGGATTGTAGATTACATCTTTTATCTGATGAAAAGATTGAATGATTTAGGTAACTGCATTTCATGTTCGGTTGCAAAATTTTGTTGATCATTCCAATTTAAATGCAAAAACCTTAATGTTCACCAGTTGATTTGTGAGAGGAGACTATAATTTCTTTATTAATATCTTAAATAATCCGGCAGCAGCTAGCAACTCTGCTCCTTCTCACATATAAGCATACACCCACCCACAGTAGTTGCGAGTGGTGGTATAAGATGGATACACCTGATGTGAAGTGCTTGTCATAGATTTGAAAATTTGGCATTAGTATTGTAGCCATTTGACCCACAAGTGAATCCAGACGGCAAATGAAGGTTCTCACCCTTCTACCATACGATCAAAATTCTTCACACCACAAAACACATACTTTTATGTTGATCGTTTAGAATAATTAGAGCAAGAGAGATTTGACAGATGTTCATTTCTCAATGATTTAGTTGTGTCCACGAAATTTTTAACCTTAAAATACTTCAAAATGTTGATATTGACGTTTACAAGTCCAAGGACTCGAACTGTGGTGGCCAAAGCCAATATCACATCGCCATCAATCAATCCTGTAAATTTCCTCAATTCAACAGGGAGAGGAGAGGATATGAAGCTGTTCTGGGCTGTAGTTATTGCATATACCAAGGGGGTCATATTGCACTGCTCTTCACTTGTTAGCAAATGCAGTATCTGTTGATCTGCCAGCTCTCTTATCAAACTCTTCCAGTGCTGCCCAGAGTTTTGGATCTTCATAATTTTTTATGAGCAGTGCAGGCTTTGCTTGCATAAGCAAATTCTCAGGATTTCTTGTTGTTAAGCCAACAACAGGCATCCCAGCTGCAACACCGGCTGTGATTCCAGAAAAAGAATCCTAACCGAGCAGAAACATGACCATAGTTAGTTTACGAACACGGCAAGGCTGTATTCTAAATTCACACAAAAAAAAGGGCAGAAGTCGTCAAAACCTCAAAGATGATACTGTGATCCTTGGACACTTGCAGTATTTCGAGTGCCTTCAAGTAGGGATCAGGGAATGGTTTTGCACGGGTGCAGTCACTTCCAAGAATAACAGCTTCAAAAAAGTCTGAAAGGCCAAGTAGTGAGATCATCAGTTCGGCATTGGGCTTTGGAGCATTGGTAACAGCAACGCGTCTCAAACCACGATCTTCAATCCACTTCCGTAGTTTGTAGAGGCCATCAACGGCCTTCAGTTGCTCCTTTGCCAATCTGTATTTTCCGACCAAAAGAACGTCTAAGACAGGTGGAAACTGAACAATCCCCAGCGGTGGACATAAAGTTAAAAGTTGTAAGATGGTATATAAGAATATGGTTAATAACCTTCTAAACATAGCTTCCTTGTCCTCACAGAATTTAAGGCCCCTTTCAATATCATCAGGGAAAAGAATAGCAGCAACATCATCATTGTGCTTCCCAGCAAAATTCTGAACGTAGAATTCTTCAGTTATTGGAACACCACCATTGAATCCTGTCTGTTAAACACCAGACTTCTTGTTAAAACCCTCCCACAAGAGTACTAGGTTACGAAAATACATCTCAGCAAAGCTGAGATGGATGGATAACCATATTACACCCCCGACTGTTAAATGCAACAGGGCCTATAGATGGAGAGCACACTGCATTTTGTAATAACACAAATGCCTTGCTCAAGCTGAATAAGGTTCTGTTAAGGTGTGCTTACCCTTTTTATATGTAATCCATTTATTACTTGATTATTCTCAAGGATGAACTAGCGAAACTGAAATGGATATGGTGAGACCATAATTTATACCTCTGGAAGCAGTTCACGGAAAGCATAGTAATGAATGGGATCTGAATCACAAAGAGTTCCATCAACATCAAACAGTACTGCTTCAAGAGCAGCAGCCTGAGTCAGAGAGGGAATACTGCAACCAGAAAACAGAGAACAGTGAGAACTTCCTTCAGAATTTTATAAGGGAAAAATTATTAATGTTTTAACACCAATAAATTCAAATTTACGAATATTTCATGAGGATTATCAATCAATAAATCTAAAGTAACCATATGAGAAAGCTCATAATGCTCTAAAACCCCGCCCTCGTACCCCCAAAAAGAATGTTACAGAATGACCATTTTCAAGCATGTTATTTGCTAATCTTGCACAGAGAAGAATTACATTGCATCCCACTTGAATTTAACACTTTACAAGGGCAAATTTAACACTTGAATTTAACACTTAAATTGTATTAGGTTTCATACACACCTTATACTTTAGGATATTTCCCTCATAGTTTCTTTTGATTATGTAGAACAACACTTTTTTCCCAATATATTATAATAGAACCTGATCATACTAGACCATTTAGAGCCTAATCAAGATACCCTTTCCAGAATTTTAGGACTATGCTATGGATCAATCCAGTCCTTATGATTGTTCTTTACAGTTAGAATGATTCAAAATTGAACTACCAAAATCCGGAATCAAGCTATCACAACTTATACTCCACAACAAAACCTTCAAGATATGTGCTTGTTCCTTTTCCATTGCCAACAACAACAACACAACAAAAGAGAGGTGTTTGACGCAAAAGTTGCATGAGGAGCTATACATATGCGCAAACGAAAGAAAGGCAAAGGTAATTCTCAGGTCCAAAGTCTGACAAAGAAAGCCAGAGTAAGAACAGGGAAGCAGAAAAATCAAAATGGATGCTGTGGAAAGCTAATGCTTCACTGGCAATTGGATGTCTGCAATCCATGCCATATGGTATGTAAAGAGTCAGTCAGTCACAGTCAATAAACAAGAATGATCCTCAGATGCTCGTCCGGAAAGAGTTCTTTTTAATCAAGAATTTTGGGCCCCAAGAGAATGAAAGCAAAACATAAAAACTGCAATAAAAGGTAAATACCATTGAAACAAAACCTCACCCTCCATTAACCAAGATTCCCACGACTCACAAACTTCTTCTTGAATTTTGATCAATCAATCAAAGAGAAAAAATGAGGGAAGAAGGGGGGGGGGGGGGGGAGGGAGGGGAGTCTAATTGCGACGTCTCTACTCCCAGCATAGCTAAGAACACCAATCACACACATTCAAAACCCAACAAAAAGGTGAAATATCATAGTAACATTTCCTGCGACATCAAAAGAACCACATGCATGTACTCGAACAGCCCCACCAAAATAATAAAGCCACGAAGAAATCTATTTTGGGAGGAAAAGTCAATGAAAGCCCACAGCTGATGATTGTAACTCCTCCACTTAATCGAAAACTGATGATGGATCCAATTGCACGGGAAAAATAACCAAGAAATAAGATTTAAGAAGGGTCAAACAAAACATTTTCCCAGACAAGACAAATAAAACAAAGAATTACACAAAGGGACACGTCTTGTATACATATAATGCTGATTTTAAACAAACAATTTCTTCTAAAGACTGGCATGAAAGATCAATAAAATCGACGTTCGAAGTGTAGATTGCAGACCCAATGATCACATCCCAAATACCTCTACATTCAAACAACAAAAAAGAAAAGCAGAACCCAGATGGAAAATCACCTGTCTGAAGAGTTTCCCGTAGCTGAAACCGTCATTCTTGTGAATTTGCGAGATGTCTGTTCTAAAATGAAAAGTTTTTCAATATCCTGGGATGAGTAGTTTTTTTTTTTTTTTTTGCCCCCTAAAACTTTCTAGTTTTTCTGATGGGTGGCTAGAAGAATATAAAGGGGTCCAGAGGAAGAGAATGTGCCAAGGAATCAAGGAAAGCGGAGCCCCAGACACTCGTGAAGATGCCTCTCTCTCTTTCCTATTTTCCCCACCCACACATGCAATTGATAATTGCCCTCTATTTTTGGCTACCTCACTTCGAGCGAATGGTGTATATATACGGCATTTACTTACCGTTTCTAGTATTTAGTTTCTTTCATTTATATATGAAATTATTTGTGTAAGCGAGACCAACTCCAATCAGATTGAAAAATAAGAATTATTAATTATTCAAGTTTAATATGCATTTTTTCATAGATTGAATTTTGTGATTGCAATTCATATTGCTAAAAATTTTGAATTTTCTTGAGATGAGGTCAAATTGATTTTCCAATCATCTTGATTTATTAGTATGTAAGTTTCAAGTTATATAATTGTTTAGTCAAAGTTCAAGGATTAAAGTTTTTCTTGAGGATGGAGTGATTAGGAATAAAGTAATTATCTACCCTTCTCACGCAAACGTGTTATGTGATGATAGCAAGGAGAATCAAGTCCCACTTTGCTTCTTCCTTTTTCCTCTCATTCTCTTGTTCTTAAGGTTTGTTCATGGAAACTCATTAAAATAAAATTTGTACATTAAATTATTAGAAAAATAAAATTAATTAAAAATTATATAATTGTAGGGTAGGATAATAATTATCAGTACGTGCATTCATTTAGTAAATTAAATTGGATGTAATTTAAATGTGAAAATGGCTGTCCAATTCCATTAAAAAAAAATCCTTATTCCTAAATAACGCCACAATAATGTTTTTTGGTTTTAGACCTAGTAGAACTTTTCAATGATTCAAATAGTGACTCAATTTGTTCGTAAAGGCTAGTAAGACGTAACCAAATATTAAACAACGTTTGAAACTTCGCCCTCATTTGGATTCTAGAATTTAGGATATTCAAGAAAAGGCGCAATGCATAACTTGACTTAGAAAATTGCCGTGTCATGACTCTAAGTCTTCAAGGTATAAGGGGATTGGATTAGGTGATAAAATGAAAAAGAATAGTAAACAGGAGATTCTAATTCAAAATCGTTTACTTGTCAAAAAAATGTCTTGAAAATATTTAATATTTTTGAAAACAAATATAGTAGTTTTTTTAACTGTTCCTATATTTTGTTCTTTCGGAGTGACAATCAGAGCATACCCTTTGGTTCTGGGAGCTAATTATCACCACAATTGACAAAAATTAGATTGCTATCCTTCATACTAGCAATCTCAAAACTAGACAATTCGATGACTTAAAAATTGTCTCGAGTTGATTTATAAACAAGAAAAGTATAAGGTATTATTCGTCAAACAATAATTTTTTCACCGGATGTCTGGCATATACTCATTATTACACCAGAATTACAGCCTAACGTATAAATATAAATACACGCTTGCAATCATCATCCTTGTTTGGAACCCAAGTTGTTTGGAACTCAGGTTTTTTGTCAAATTTATCTGTTACAAATTTTTAAAAACTTTAGTTACAGTAATCTAAAAAAATTTCTTAAAGTTTTTAAATTATATATTTCAAAATATTCAAAAATCTACACATTTCAAAAAAAATTTAAAAATTTTTTACAGTAAATTACAGTAAAATTTTAGATAAACTTCTCCAATTTAACTCAACTTTTTTTATAAACATTAAATACCTAACTTCATCTAATGAGCTGTACCCTCCTAAAGAATTGGCTTGGACATTTCCATTTTGACAGAAACTCTTATATTTTTATATTTTTATCTTTTTTGTGGGTACGAATTTTGACAGCTGCTGTCACTTCTTCTTCTTCTTCCAGGAGCAAATTTTGTGAAGCTGAGACCAAATTTCCCAATTATCCTCTGGCCTTTTGCCACTCGTGAATGTGGAAGCTTTTCGTTGGTGGGCTGGTGGGCTGTCATCTTCCTGATGTGGTCAAATAAAGACGGCACACGTGAAACCTGAAACGATGATGATGAGATGCTTCTCTGATGTCTCCTTGTAATCAGTCCAAAAAAGCGTTTCCACGTGTCTTGCAAGCAGTTAAATCAAAATTACCCAACTGTCATATTCATGTGGACCAAGCAACTGAGGCTCTAGCTATATGTGGCAGTTGAAGCCCAGTAACAAATCACATCAGGCCTGACAGCACCTCCAATTTAAAAGCCCATTATGCATCCATGATTCAATGAGACGAAGCAAGGAGGCAGGCATCCATGACAATCACTGGCCAATGGCTCAGTGGCCATCGGGGAGGGATTAAGTCCCTCCTTGGGCTGAGCAGCGAAAAAAAATCTAAGGGTTGTGCCATAGCACTTCCTTGATCTAGTTGGATTTGTATACCCACTAGCCCCTACAACAGCCTCCGTAGGCTCCCCTCCCCCTTAGATTAGGATAGAGTAGGTTATACACATGTATCGTTACTGACAAAAAAAAAAAAAAGGAGGCATCCATGATTGAATTGGTAAAGACATTAGTCAAGTCATGATCAGATCACGAAATCTTGATGATCTTCTCTTCTATCACATGAAGGGGGAGTCTGCTTCACCCTGAACCCACCCCTGAGTATATACTTCAACAGGATTTATAGATTCGAAACCTAAAAAAAAATATAACTCAATATAATAATACTCTATTATCTTGTTAGCTACTTTGTACAATTGGAAACTGGAGTTTTATGAAAAACCAACACTCGTTGATTTTTTTTCAAAATCTTTCGTAAGTCTCTTTGAGATAAATCATTTTTTTTGGGTGCAATTCCAAGTGTCCTGATTCGATACTCAGACGTTTTCCTTTTCTCTTGTAATATTAAGGGCCTCACTTAGATCGGATTAAAAGAATGGGATAATTGCAGAAATCTCCCCTTAGATTTTTGACAGTTGCACTCACCTTCATGAGATTTGAAAAATAGCACTAACTTTCTCCTAGCATGAATTTGGGGCCTATAGTTGACATAAAATAGGATAAATTTATTTCTATGCCCTAAGAGAAAAGGACAACGACTAAAGAAAAAAAACTATTGACTACTCTCCTACTGCTGATCCAATTTCAACTGATATTTTCTCGATGATAGAGGCTAAACTAAGTCTTGTATAAAATATGAAAGTTGTAGTTCTTTGAGTTAGCTTTCTAATGCATCAAGAATCATCCAATTTGCATCAAGAATCATCAAATTTGAAACTCTGTGGGCCGACAAATGACCAAAATACTCCTAACTAGTCAGAACTCTATTTTAGCTTTTGATCATGAAAATGCACTTTTGTATTTCGACTTTTTGACAATGAAAACAGCTAAACTAGACTTAGATGTCTTATACCAAATGTATATCTATCTCTTAACTTCAAAATGGTTCAAGAATCACCCCAATCCAATACTTGTAACTCAAGATATAACCAAAATATTAAAACACTACTACAAAAATAGTCTTTAATGACACATCTATTATGACACTTCTAGAAAAATGTCATAATACAATCTTAATATGACATGCAATAGGAATGGTCATTAAAAAGAAAAAAAAAACACCATAACGACGTCGTAATGGTTGGAAACAGATTGAAAAAAAAAAACAGAAAATGCTGAAACTCTCCACTAAGGCGTCTTTTTTTCAAAAAATTTGTAAGCCCTTCTCCAGAACCTACCTGATCTCAAGCTCTACTCTTTCATCCCCCAATTTTTCCTCTCTGGATAAAACCAATCATTCCAATTGAAACGTGTGATCTGGAGCGGAACAGCGCAGCATTGTCAAAACACCCAAAATTACCAATCGGATCGCTGCAATAGAGAGAGAGAGCCCCCAATTCCGGAAAGCTCTTTCGATCGAATTTCCGATCAATTTTCTAGTTTGTAACCTAAAAGCGATCTTAATCTGAAGAAAAATGTCATCAACTTTTAGCGGCGATGAAATTGTTCCTTTTTTTGGCTTCTTCGACGCGGCTGCCGTCCTTGTCTTCTCCTGTACGATCCCTAACCCTAACATAGATAACTACGTTTACATTTTTTTTTATCAAATTTCATGTCGATTTATGTTTTTCATTTTTCCTATTTATTATGGGAATTTAGGCATGGGAGCTGGTTATGGGACAGCGAAGAGTGGGTAGGAGTGGAATCAATGGGGGTGATGCGGCCAGAGCTTGGGATGAAGTCGATTGTCCCGGTTGTTATGGCTGGTGTGCTGGGTATCTACGGTTTGATTATTGCTGTCATCATCAGTACTGGAATTAATCCTAAGACCAAAGCTTATTACCTCTTTGATGGCTATGCACATCTTTCTTCTGGCTTGGCTTGCGGTCTCGCTGGCCTTTCCGCGGGAATGGCCATCAGAATTGTCGGTGATGCTGGTGTCAGGTAGTTTAACTTGTTTTTGTCCTGATTAAAGAGATGTATTGTCTATTTGTGTTGGTTCTTGCAGCTATTTTTTTGCTGATGTTTGTAAATTGTGCTTCTATTGGTTGGATATCTGTGTCTGACTAACTAACTTACATTTAGTTTAGGCCTTTTTTGTTTGAAACATATATCGGTTTCACTTTTTGGAGCTTGCTTCTGCTCATTTTGCTGGGATTTCAGGATAGAGTCCCTTGTAGAATAGTAGAGCTCATGAGAATACATGGTACTTCTAACAGATGTTATAAGGTACATGTTAGTATGGGATAAGCCTACTGCATCTGAGATTGTTTGACTCTAATTAGGGGCTTGTCTTCCTAGAAAACTATGTGAATGTGTTATAAGGTTTTTTTGGTCTCCATGTTTTATTGTAACTTTACTTCAGGGTTAATTCGCATTTCCATATTGTATTACTATTCGTGCTCCTTATCTTGTGGAATTTCTGGTTTTGTAATAAATCGGCCTGCTATTTATTGTTGCCTATTGAATTTCACTAGAAACCTAAAGATCATGAAGTGAAGTATGGTAGTTGCCTTTTTGCATTTCAACCTGCATTAGATAGATGATTGTTAATGAACTTCGGTAGCTGACAAACTAGTGGTTATGTTGACTTTCTAAACATAGTAGCTCTGTACCATTAGTAGACAAACATGTAGAGATCGTAAGCTGATGTGAAGAAACTTGATTTTGTTGCAAAGATAAAGGTAGTAAGTAAAATTATGA